CTGCTACTTCTAAAGGGTCTGTTTTACTCACTTAATCTGTTAATCTAGGAAATCCCTGTTGTAAAGCCATGCTAATGATAAAAGCTATTGATTTTGAAAACCCTCTTAAAACAAGGGAAGTCAATGTAATCAGAAAAAAAAAACACATTTCCATTGCAAATATGTTTAACATAACTATAAACTGTGCCAAAAGAGTGTGAAAGCAAATTGATGGTGGATACTGGGTGAGAAAAAGGCTGATGTCAATTGAAATTATCCCTTCTAATATCTAAATATTTCAAATGATCCTTTTACTTCAGTTTACCATCTCAGTAACAAACAGTACAAAAACATTCACTGTCTTTGCGGAGACATTGATCCCCATGGCTGTGGATGCTGCCATCTGCATTAACATAAAAACTCAGTGGAATGCATTTAGAGCAAAGTCCATTTAATACTTACACCCGATAGAAATCAGTATACTGGCCCTGCCAGCAGGTAGATAACATTTCTGTCTGCTTTTTCACTAGATAATGGGGAGTGCTCAGTGTCAGAAAAACCACCAGATTCTGTTGTTACGTAAGGTAATTAAAAAAGCTAATGAGCTTCCTTGGGAAGATCGCAATCCCTAAAGAGTAAATTATCTTGATTATTATGATTGAGGAAGCAACATTTAAATCTCTTTTAAAACTGGACAGTTATATAATCCTGCTGCAGTATGTGCTTGAAATCCACCCAATTATTGCATTTATTTTCAGCTCGTGATTCTCAATTTGTCTTAATTCTTTTGATTTTACCAGAATATAAACACTTTTCTTTCTAAATACTCATTGCTATCTTTTTTACTGTTTTGCCCCAGTTAAAAGTTCTCTCTCCATTTATTTTATGGCTTTAGAAACAATACCACTAATTATAATAGTAAATCTGTATATGTACTGTATGTATTCTATTCCTTTTTATGCATCACAAGACATGTTTAACACTTTCTCGCCTCTGGAGAAAGAGTCAATTTCCACCTGGTATGATGTCCCCTCAAACATTTTGTAATATCTCTGGAAGTTTATACAGTAGAAGACTGGTTTATGGCCATGCCATGCTTTACCTTCACTGACTATGCACAAACA